CTAGGAAAGATAAATAATTATCTTCCTCTTCTACAGATGTAATTGATATGCTATTCTGAACTTCATTCATTCGATTTAAAATTGGAGTGGCAGAACAAGACTTATCACGGATGATTACAATATCATCTACATACCTTCTATAAAGTGGCACATTTTCGATTAAATCCTCCGAGAAACTCTCAATGTACGACATACAGATATCTGCTAAAAGGAGGCCCAACGGATTTCCCACAGCATCACCATCAACCTGGCGGAAACAATCGCCGTCATATGTAATCTTAACATGGCTAGTATGTAGAAGTAATAAATCCCTTAAATAAGATATAGGGAACGGGATGAAAAAATTGTGTGTGGAAATGTAATCACACCATTCATGTTATTTACGCGTTACATTTCTCACATAAACCTTTACCAACCATCTTTTTCTTACTGTGATCCCTAAGTAATGCTGTGAATAGATCACTTGAACGGTATAACTGAGTGCCACACAGAATTTCTTATTTGGTAGATAGAGAAGACAGGACTTCAAGAGAACATAGAAAAGACGAAGGTGATGAAGATAACCAACCAACCAGCCAGCCAACCAACAGTATCCACAACAACAAGCATCAATCACTGTCAACGTGAGAAAACTGAATCAGTCGGAACAGATGAAGATGTCGAAGCTGGCCAGAATCGGAAAGGCAATATAGGCCTTCATGACTCTGAAATCAGTTTAGAAATCTTCTACACTCACTCAACATAAACAACAAGATTCGAAAATAGCTATACTGACAAATTTATCAAGAGACGCATGACAAAGAAAGCGGAAAAGGACTACTCGCTATCTGTAAACAAGAAGCCACTATATATACGACTACAATTCAAGGGCGATTTACCAAATGTGATAATTAAGAGGAAATTAAGAAGATCAATTCAAAGAACTTCCCATGCTGGCGAACTACACGTATTGTTCTCTACACGACCGATGATGTTACCTCGACTGAAAGATGAAGTACCTAGACTAGCCACTTCAAATTGTATCTACCAATTCAACTGAGCTTGTAGCGGGGCGAGTTATATTGGCCGTTGCTCTAGGAACTTGATTTTTCGTGCTCGCTCGAGAACATCTCCCAGTATGGCTAAATAAAAGTTTAGTAAAAGCCATCAACAGTTCGATATTAGACCATCTGGTGCAAACCGGTCACAAAGCCAGTGTAGAGGAAACCTTCTCTATAATCTACCGGGTGCCTAACAAACTACCGAAATCGTCGAAGTACCGCATGATCCAAACAGCAGAGGCTATTGCAATTCGCCTCAAACAACCAGTGCTCTGTGTTCAAAAGAAGCAAGTCCAGCCCCTACTACTGCCCTGGTTGGCCTTCAGGAGAGACTATAAACTCATGAATTTGTAATATTATCTTTCCTAATTCTTCTGAAATTCAGCTTATTTTATGTTGATGCTATTGAGCTGTAATCTATCAATATTATTCATTCGATGTTATTTAAACAAAATTAATGTTGTTCATAAGACTAATTCATTCATTCACTATAATGTATATATAACTGTAGAACCTGATGATGAAGTTATCGAAAAGAGTACTCTTTGTTCAGTATCCATTCTTTTGAAAAAAGATTCAAATTTTCAACATAAATTTGAAGTCAGCGTGGGAGTAGCGAAAAGCATTTCTAACACGCCACTGCAGACTTCTATCAACAGCTGCCCGTTTCGCTGGCTAGCCAGAGAGAATTATCGACGAGAAACTGCGACTGGGAACAAACCAACTAAGAACCTACGACTTAACAAATGTGTAAGAGAAACTGGCGATGGGTTGGACACTTTGAGGAGACTGTCAAATTAAATCGGGTTCCAGGCCATCGCTCAAGTTTAAACCCGAATGACAAACGACAACTGGTTAAATCCATATTAGTGTGTTTATTAGATGTATCACACAGTCAGTGTAACAGTATTATATACTGGATGACAAAGTTTCGAACAAAATTTATTTATTGTTCATTATCACATCATCAGTTATAATCACACGACTTCGAAACTTGACTTTTATAGTTTTCTTTGTTCTCTCCTATTTGTCGTCGTATGATTATGAGTGTCAATAGTTTGTGCTCGAAACGTGGTCATCAGTTAATATTACTGTATAACATTGTGTGATTTATCAAACTGAAATCTTATCCATATTGGAATTATACTCTACGACAGTGCCCAAGTTTTATACTTATATCAATATTACACCAACACAATCGTGAGATAACTGTCCCTGAGATTTTTACTAGAAAACTATCAACGCCTGAAAAATAAAACTAACTACTACCCACAGTATTCAATGATTTAGCTATTAAAATAGGTCCTTGGGCCAGGAAATGTATTCCTCCATCATTTCCTAATTGGCTTTTAATCGAATGTTGTGCATTTCTCGAAGAAAAGAAAAAATATCATAAGAGAGATTGGTTATCGCTCCACATCAGACACCAATGTATCACCCGATTTTCTATTGTGACGAGAGCTGGCTGTAAACAACAATTTACGTTAATGTTCACGTCCCTAATGAGGGTCATGAGTAAAAACAATAATAAAGCGTAACCTCTAGAAAAAACACCAGCCAATCACAGCAGATTTAACGTGCGGAAATATGATTCGCAGATATATGGCTTGATTTCCTGAGAAACGGTCACAAAGCAATACAGAATAACCCTTAGCGAGAAAACAACCAATCCGAAGACGTTTCTTCTCCTCTGACAATAATGCACAAAAAAATCTATAAATATCACTTGATTTTCTCAATAAAAAATCTGTTGCCTAGCCTTTGTCTTCTGTCGTGACACTATCACAGTTACAAGTCTACTTGAAGATCCTGAGGACAGAGAAAACTATTCCCGCTGGAAATTCTCCACATTACATAAGCACTGTTCATCAGAAATAAAGCTATTATTACAAACAGTGAATGCATTTGCGTCAATGACAACGATTTTGAGCGATATCACTAACAATCGCAAATCACTGGTCCCCAACATCTTGAGGGGCCAATCCAGACAATCTACACCACCTAACATGGCTCAAATGAAATAGTCAAAGGACTTATGGATTGATGTTAGGTTTCCATTTGATCAGCAGTGACTCTTTTCCAACCTCATCCTATACCAGCTAATACTAGTCATCGAGGAAGGCGGTGGTTTTTCATGTGTATAGCAACGTGTCCTAGCTATCTCAGTCGATGTTGCTTCACAATCTGATCGGTTGATTCTACCTCCTTACCATACAAACCTCACCTTATGATACCCCTAAACACGGGAGAAGGAATGCAAACATCTGTAGTCAAAGATAGCTAATCAGCCTTTGTATATCTTCCGTTTTCAATAGCCATTTCTTTTAACTATAGAAAAGGATACAGGAGAACCCCTACCGAGATGTACTCTTATCCTTTAATCGATAGCCAGCTGCATATCACCTCTACGCCAGAGATGACGAGGACTGGCAAACTACACACGAGCCTTTATTATTCTTGTTGAGATTACGTCTGGAAATTATACACAGTTCGGTATGAGGCCACGCGTTCCACCAGGTAAGCTCTATTGATTGATTTTCAGCGGTGGGTGTTTTCCTACAACTGGATTGGTCAACATGGTAATCTACCTAGGTAGGACAGCTGGAAAACCCTGCATCCAAACCTATATGGTGAACATGGGATCCAGAATCGGAACAGATCGAATGACGTATCAATCTCTTTTGATCACCACGGGAACGTAGTTCCTGACGCTGATCCACTCACTGCCTTATATGTATCAGACAGATATCAAGTCAACGAGAGACAACCACCTGCTTCAAGCTTGACGTATCCGTAATAGTAATTAATCGAAATATAGTAAATATCACATTTATGCGGATAATACCGAAGCTAAGCGTGGCATGCGCAAACTCCAAATGTAACTAGTTTATAGCCCGTCGAAGCTACAATCTGCGAATGTTCGGCATGCAATTCGCTCCTTCCAAAACAAAGATGATGTTACAGGACTGGACTACATTGACTCCTAGCTTAGAAAACGGGAGTAAAGTGATACAGCACGTTGACCACTTCACTTATTTGGGAAGTTGCATCAGCCAATGCCAACGGGCTGATCACTGACGAGATCTCAGCACGGATACAGAAGGCTCGTTTCGCATATGCCAATTAACGCCGTCTCTGGCATAGACATGATATCCAGCTATCGAGCAAAGGAAATGTGTACTGCTCAGCAGTTCACTCCGTCCTCCTGTATGGCTAGCTGTAAAACCTGGACATTGAGAGTGGAAGAAATGAAAAGGCTGGCTAGTTGTCTTTGATCATTGGTGCCGTGTGAAGTGGTATAGTAGGGTGAGCAATATTGAGGTTAGGCGCCGAGTGCTAGGTAGTTGGGAGGGGAAATCAATTGACGAGGCTGTGATGTTACATCGACTGAGATTGTTAGGACATGTGTTACGCATGCATTCCTAGTCATCGCCTTCCTCGACAACAGGCAATGTCAGTTGACAGAGGGTCAGGTTGAAAAAGACCCAGTGGTGGTCAAACCAAAACATGTCTTCACCGCTCAATGAAATCCACAACAGTTAGTCTAAGCCAACCACGTAGGAAGGTGTAGACTTCCGCACTGGTTGGGGTCCTCGGGACGGTAAACACCAATGAAGGCTGGAGACAATCGGTGATATGGCTCAAAATCCCTGTCCTCAATGGCTATCGCAGAGGCATCCACTCCCTGTGACTTATAATACCCAATGAAACTATATGGCTCTTCGTTATTACTATTCCTTTTGCATCATATCCCTGTTTACTGTATCTATTTTACATTTACGACTTGAACTGCTGTACATCGGTGCAAAGTTCTATGTTGAAAACAGACAAACAAACAGACCGACCGTCGAAGCTCACAGTTTATCGTACAACATCTACCAACCCCCCGTTAAATATCAGGATAAATGAACAACAACAGCAAAATCAAAACAACTAGAAACAAAATCAAAACTTCATCATAAATGTATATGTTACTTAAATATATATATATATATGTACGCTTAAATATATATAACACGTATGTATGTATGTGTGTATGTACATATTTAGAATATGTAATCAATATGTTGTCAATCAATCAATATGAGTACGTAAGTAAGTAAATTTGAATGAATTGTGAGTATACATAAAATACAACAACATTTTTAAAAAGCCATGCATGAATCTTCCTTCTTCAGAAAGAGGAGGACAAAGGAACCATCTCCTATTCTCTCACTCACTCACTCACTCCCACATACACACACACAAATAGAGAACAAACATCAGAAACTCTGTTTTTGAAGAAGGATAAGAAGAAGGAGAAGAAGAACCGAAGGAGAATAGACTCTATTTACACATCAAAGACGATCATTAGTAATAGTAGTAATAATAATTATTATTATAATAATAGTGTTAAACAGAATTTTAATGTTCAAAGTCTTTATATAAATATCATAGAATGTCGGTTAGGTAAACATTAAACGCAAGAAAGAGCTTTCTACTACCAGCACCGCCACGGCCACGGCCACCACCACAGCCGTCATACACAACTAACCAATAGGAAAAGAGAAGACTGCAGTTCTATCGATGAGTATGTTTCACAATAAATAAATAAGTAGTCTGTAAGAGTGAGAGATGACGCCCCCCACCCCACTCCACTAATTCCCGCCGCCAAACAATTAAAATGAATTAAGGCAATATGCAATCAAGAATATCTTCTTACTTCCTGACAGTAGTAATAATTAATAATAATAATAGTAATAATAATAATAATAAAGGCGAATAGCCTTTTTCCACATAGGCACTTCACTTAAAGAAGGATACAGTAAGGGGCTGTTACTACACAGCACACTAACTTATTGATTCATGAACTAATCAATCAACCAGAAATGAAGCAAAGAGAAAACGACAAGTTAATGAGCTCATCAACAAACACACCCACACCCACTCGAAAGTACATGTCAATCTATAGAGAAAACGAAAAAGTGAGTTAATCATCATTGTCTTACGCATAATAAGAAGGCAGGGGGTTGAGGAGGGTGGGAAAGACCTAGACTTCAGTATATCAATTGATGAAAAAGGGTACAAAGTGTGTCAAGAAACGCACACATCCACACACTTGCTCAAAAGTCATGAATAGCCATTTGTCTGATGATAATACACCGTTTTCTGTTTGTTTGTTTTTTTCGTAAGGCACGCACGATTTAAAACCTTTAATGGTTTCTGTATATACAATGATTTTAAACTTTTTGCTGTTACTACTGCGAATATATTGAACTATTGATACTCCCCATTCTCCTGCTGCTCTGGTATGTGTTCAGTACAATCATCAAATAAATTAGAATAGAATAAACAACTGCCTTAATCCTTCCAGGTATGAAACTAATTTTTTTTTGTCTGACTCAATCAGTCAGTGAGTCAGTCAATCAGCTGCAATTAATTAACACAGAACAGAAAAGGTTAAACAAGATGAGTAAAATAAAAATCGAACATTGAACATAGAAAAAAAATAGTGGCGCAAAATACGAACGAACCAATGAACAAATTATGTAGGAGGAAGCAGGCAGATAGAGAGTAGATAGATCGATAGATAGACAGACACAGTCTGTGTGATTTGACTTATTGATTGATCACCATCTGACCAGACTGACACTAACACACGAAGATAGATAGACAGACAGAGACACACGCGTACATTCGCATACACACACACACGAATACAACACACATAGTATGTTTTATACAGTTTCTATAAAAATTGCAATCTCATTGTCTTCTGTATTACTTTAAATAGTAATAATAATAATAACGATAATATAATCTGTAAAAAATAATGAGTAGTGATTATCATAATAATTAACAATAATAATAACGTTTGTGATAACAAAACGATAGTCATTGTGTAATTTTAGGAGTTAATATCAGTTGCAAACGAATATATTTCATCGGAAGCGAGAGAGAGATGGGCAGACCGACCAACAGATAGACAAGTAGATAGACATAACGGATAGTGAGACAGACAGGTGGCAATTAAACCTGTCCATCCATCTATCAAAAAGTATTAACATTTGACACGATATACACACTGAATTCATTTGTCCACTGGCGTGTACTGTACTGTACTGTAATAAGCTACTTTGTTCATTAATAACGACTGACTGACAGCGTTGAACAATGATATCCCTCTCTCCCACTTCCCCCTTCGACGACGACGACGACAACCAGCCACAACAAGGCAGCACGAGACATGAACTACCTACCATCTTTGTTGACATGATGAGAAGGTTTCTCTGATTTCACTTCAGAATGGGGTGAGGGGGGGTCCTCTTTCTCTATATGTATAAATATGTATACATTTATGATAAGTAACAGACATTGCGTAATATCAAAGGTAATCCTGAATGACGAGTGAGAGGGTAGTACAATGAAAAAAACACAACAAATGAACAATAAAGGACGAAAAAAACACAATTAAAAGAAGAAGGATTACACGAAAGGAGGGAGAGAAAGCACTATTTAATAGCAATTATGATATTCAATCACAATGGTTTTGACAGTTTACTGATTACACGTATAAGAGCAGCGTTCTCATCTTTCATTCTGGAAATCTCTTCACGTAAACGAGCAATTTCCTATATATTAAGGGAAAAAACCCGGAAAACTGAGTTCGTGTGGAAAACAATATAAAAAAACAAATAAAAATTAGCAATCATATATATTTTTTTCAAATTCCTCAGAAATGTGCGCCAGTACCCCTCCGCCTATAAACAACCTGGTGAGGATGAGGGTTGAGTGGGTAGAGCGTTCAACCTTCCTCTCAAAATACTCTCTCCCTTTCTCATGCGATCATACGAGTTCATAGCTTCTGACATATAAGTCCTGTTCAATGCATTCACGTGCCAACTAACAATCTATCGCCCAACAATATGTGTGTACAAAAATAAGAGTTGATTGGACAAACCCTCAAGAGACAGACCATCAAGTAACATCATACACCAGAGGACCTCGAGTGGAACCATAATAGAAAACGATGCGATGCAATGGGCGTCTGAGGATACCTATAGGGGTAATGCGATGTCAGCAGCAGGCAATGAAATCTTGTGAGCAGTCCATGGCAGGAGATGCCAGAGGACGGAGTAAAAAGTGGAGATAGATGATCTATCTATCTACCTAGATAATCAACTCAAGAAATCTCCAAATTTCACATACCCACCCGATACAACACTCTTTCTTTGTTACTCTTATACCATCATTGTTCTTATGTTGTTGGTTGTTTTTTGTCTTTTTTGAGAAGCTTTATTCATAAAATGTAAGAATAATTATCTCCAAGTTACGCGCTGTTTCTCATTTGTAGACTTTTTTTATGACTATTTCATCTTTTTATTTTTATCCTTGCTAAAATTGTTACACTATTTCACCCCAGTTACTACTTTTTAAGAAGACAATAAAAATAATGCAATAATGCAACTGTTTTGTTTTCATTCAATCTGCTGAAACAATATGTTACATTTCAACTGAAGGATTAGATGCTATTATTATTATTATTCGCATGGGTTCCGAGGGGCGAGGTGGGGCGGCGGGAACAAAGAGCTTCACAACAGCCTATCTGCATTACACTCTGTTCTCTCTCTGTAGTTCTTTATCTAGCTGACTCCAATGATTGTCCCGTAGGCTGTCCATTTCCTCCTGCCCCCTTTGCGCATATCACCCTCGGATTCTCAACAAGTTTCAGTCAAGGGTTGTTACTTGAATGTTTTTTTTTTATTCCTTTACGCTCTTAGTGGAAAATAAGGCTTCAAACTGGAGGTAGTGGTGATTATTTTTACGGGATGGAGTTGCTAGTCTCATCCCCAACCTTCCCTTTTTACCAGTCTTAATACTGGCTTAGAGAGGTAAAAGAGTGTGTTGGGGATCGAACTCCGGACCACGTGAGGTGTGGTTGGCGAGCATTCTCTACCGCTGTGCCACCGATGCACATTTGAATGTCTCCTCAGAGTATATCCATTTTGGGCTAGGATCCCTACGCTCTAAAGAAACAACCATACCATTACGACTGAAACTTCAAACAACGGGTGGGATAAGTGACGACGCCAGATGATGAAAGCCATCGAGAAGCCAGTCAGTCAACCGATGTATCTCCTTTCCATGAAAACGAACGTAAACATGAAATGTGTAAATATACAGATTAGGTATAATACGCAACACAAATTGCAGTGTCTGTACACACCGTAATCACGTAACATTCTTCGCTTAGATATTATGAGGATTCTATAGTTTACGAAGTGAGAAATCACTACAAATAATAGAGCGTACTGAGGAAGGGAAGGGTGAACTGTTTCCTTCTAATTTACGAAATACCAGTTTTTAGGACATCGAATGGAACATACGGCTTTAAGTTTGAGTTTTGAGGTTTCAGTAACAATAGTGTCTTTCTTTTCTAACAGGGTGGGGTCACCAGCCTCACGACCAACTTTTCGGCTTTACCCGAATTATTGCCGGTTAATTTAGGTTTAAGAGTACGTCAGCCAGAAATCAATCAATCCCCGTACCATGTGCGTGGTTGGCGAGTGTTCCTACCAGAGACCTACCGATACACTGTCAGGGTTCAACTGAACTCCTGATATAACACTCAATGAGTATAGAAAGCTAACTGATAGAAGAGTAGAGATGTGGCTAATTACCTTAAGCATTTCAACTTTGACCTGAAGGCGGCCTTCAACTATGTTGATAAACAGGTGTCGTGAAGGGAGGTATCGTAGAAGTATACAGCACTAATCAAGCCACTCCAGTCGAACCCACTCAACCAGGTGAGAGCTTACGGAGAGTTATCGGCTAAGTTAAATTTTTAAGCAACAGTGACTGCCATCGGAGTGAGGCCACACCATTGACCTTGAATGGGCCAATGAGTTCTTTCACCTAAGTCCAAGTTTCTATTCCACTTGATTTGAGTGGACTATCTTCTCGAATGTGTATCAACTGAGAAAAACACTACATTGGCCAAAGTGGACGTGTCCTTCGTCTTCGTATCCAAGAACATAAACTAGCCTTCAAAAGACATGATATCCACTCCCTCATATCACTACATACAGACAACCACGGACATCAATTCGACTGGGACAACGTTCAAATATCAGACAGAGGAAACAACAAGAATATTAGAGAATTTTTAGAAACCTGGTATTCCACTGAATAGTCAATCAATAGATACATCGAGATAGACAAAATTTATCAACCGATAAGAAAGAAACGTCACACACAAAGGGTCAAAGTTGACGTCAAAGAAATAATAAGTGACAATACAAGTAACCTAGAAGGTGTGGAAACACAAAAAACCAACCAATCACGTCCAAGGTCACCAGGAGAGATCATTAATAAACTCGTGGAGAAATCTAAAAACTCATTTCAAATTGAAGTATGCGCTGAAAATGTCGCCTAGTAGGGCGATGAAAGCTTCGCAAATTAACTATCCAGCTCAGAGAACACAACCACATCAAAAGCATTCAAAATCGTTCGCTGATTGGAAGTTACTACTACTTAAAATTTAACTTCTCCGAGTTGTCACTTGAAGCGATAACAGGGTTGCTCAATGATTCCTTTCTATAGTTTAACTTCATCTTTTTATCAGCCTACAGTTTTGTCGACTTAGAGTCAATCATCAAGTATTGGTTTGTAGGAGGATTTTGTTTGATTGGTTGGAAACTTTGATCATGAACTGACATCGGTTAGAGAACCATTGGAAAACCAGCTGGGAGTACTTGAAAGATGTTTCGTCAGCCAACTTTGGGACTATTTAACAGTGCGTATCCACCGCTAGGGTTCGAACCCAGGACCTTCCAGTTACAAGCCTAGGGAGCTTGTAGACCATTCATCAGCCACTTGGACCCAATCCAATGACCAGCCAGTCCATGAATTCTAACTTCTGCCAATTCATGACATAGCGCAATCACTTCGTAATGTCTCTTTCGATGAGTACCTGCCCTCACCTTTAACCTGATGTACCCTATTGGTCACATCTTCCCACCAGAACCCCGGGTAACTGCCTGAATAGGGTCAGTCGTTAGTAAGCATCAGATCAATTATCAAGTATTGGTTTGAGTCAGTCAGTAAGTCACAACTTTAGCCCCTCCTCCCCTCATAAAATATACTTTATATGACCAATTTAGGTCTTACCGATAAATCAAACAACAAATCGGTTGCACACACCGCAGAGATACAATCAATGATCAAATATGTTGTACATTGAATAATAAAATAAACAGCAGAAAAAAGATAAAAAGAAAAACCTCAGTGTGTTTTACTCACCTTCATTTTGTCCTCATATGAGAGGAGCCGATTCTGGAGCTGAAATATGAGAAAAAAATAATAATAAAAATAAATTAAAATTAGCAATAAAAGAAAGTAACTTATTTAATGGCTACTATGGCTACTATATGTTGCGATAATTATATGATTAATAACCGGTTATTATATCATGCATTCTAACTTGTCATGTGAGTAATCCTCACACACTTTCCCTGTTCTTTAATATATATGAGAAAATAAATGAAATTGGGAAGCTTATTATGAATGTATATATGTATATATATGCTCTAAAACACTGTCTGGCAAGGATAACAGTGCCTTCAGCAATAATTCAGTTAACATACATAGGAGTATTGTCTTGTGGAATCTAATACGTTTATTTAATACAGCATACACAAACACACAGCCAGAGTGATACAGTACGGACAACTGGATGACATCTTGAATACAATAATGATCATCCTATCTCTATCTACAGCCTCAACCTTTATAGTCACCTACAAGGCAGAAAGTAATTTATCCAAATCCCTACGTACCCAACTCATTTTTGTATTGCTGAAACAATCTTTAGCCATCGAAATAGAGAAGCCAGATCTTTGTATACAGAAAAAGTTCGTTCAACCCCTCCACCCAACCAACTTTCATGGTCTTAATCTCTCTATGCTAAAGTATGGTAATCCCCCCTAATCACATTTTGGCTCTCCCAATTTTTTTTCATTTTGTTTATTCAATTTGTATACTCTTCCTTTATTACAATGGCAATTGTTACTACTATTACTATTCTCACTTTTAATTGTCCCCGTTATTATTTCACTTGTTCCACTTGTCATTCTAAATCAATTCTGTTTTGCTAAGTTAGATTCTATGTTATCAGACTTCACATAATGTTACGTAACGTTTTTATTTTTATTCGATTTGCCTACTAATCCTATAATTTCACGCCGCTTTCCAACATCTGTACATCCTATGAATTATTCTATATGTGACATGAATTGTTTTACCACTTGACATTTAACTGTGATTATGATCACAAATATTTTAACTGCGTATCATACTATTATTATTATTTTATGCATTCACACCTATGATTCATTTCCCTCACCGGATATAATTTCTTAATATAAAAACTATATATATATATGATTGTATAGCTTGATAATAAATCCCTTTTTTTACGAGTTTGACCAGGGATTGATATCAGCTAGAGAACCAACTGTGAGTACTGCCCAGACAGCTGTTTCACCCTAGTTTGGGAATCATTAACAGTACGCACCCACCACCCGCTAGGGTTCAAACCCAGAACCTTCCGGTTACAAGGCAACCTAGCTCGTAGACCATTCTCAGCCACTGTGACCCGATTCAATGGCCAGTCCATGAATTCTAACATCTACCAATTCGTGATTTAGTGCGACTGGCGCCGACCAATATCATCGGTGGGACATCCATCCTCAGACACTTGATTGGATGGATCTCACTGGTCACGACTTCTCACTAGAACTCCAGGAAACTCCATCCTGTAGTAAGTTACTAGCAAGCATCTTTGAAAAGAGTCTCTTCGCTGAACGTATTCTTCACACACCTTCCTTACTCCCTGCTGATTTTTTTAAAAAACAAATCACAATTTACCATATATCCAAGACAGATGTGACATCATTTTGACTGCATTTCTTAGGTATTGATTTGATGAACAAAGATTCGGTGATTAAACCCCTCCTGCTCTCCCTCTTTCTCAAGCTAATCATATTGATTTTTAATACTTCTGCCTTATCCTACAACTCTATTGTGTGTGTGTGATCATGTGTAAGTGATTGTTGCATTAGAATAGCAGAACTTCTTTCGAGGTTACGTAACTTAACACAGTCAGCTAATCAATCAATAAATCAATCAATCAATCGATCATTTTACATCTAACTCATATACACAAAAATCTACTCTCATACGGATATATATAAAGTAAAATCAATATAAGAAAACTACCAACACATAATGTGATTTTATTGAATTGGAGAGTTTATTGAACATTTATGTTTTGGGTAAAACCTGCATTGTCAATAGAAAGATAGACAAACAGACAGACGGACGCACACACACACACACATGCATACAGACACATCAAAAAGGAGTTCGTGGCTTATCTCAAAAGTCAATCTGAACGAAGAATATTCTTTTTTCAATAATTTCTTCTCTTCAGGTTCTTACAATTATAAAATATGTAATATTTATTGTCGTTACAATAATAATGGCCAGTTAGTTATGCGGCGGATACATTTTTAACGTAGAATAACAGATTAGCAGTTATGGGTGTTAAAATCAATAGTAGTATTTGGCCGATACTGGACATCGCAACCACGTCAACACAGCTTTCAGGGTTCTATACCGAATTCTGAAGTCGTTATCACATACAGTTATCACGCTTATGTCTCCTACACATAGCTGAAGCTGTTGCAATAAGAACGAATAAACGGGAAATTTGTATCCAAAAAGAACACATCCGGACGCTGTTCTTACTGTGGCCAAACTTGGATTGATGATTCTTCTTCTCACCAAGAGTGCTTCTTCCCCTTTACCTTCTTGGGCTTTTTGTTTATTTTTCCTTGCTTATTATTACAATTATTATTATTATTCGTCATGATTTATATCCTTAAAGCAAATATTCTCTCAATACTATCGAATTTTCTATTTATACTATGCCAATATTATATTATCTCTTTTCTCAATATATGCCTCCACCTGTTTCATTTCACATATTCGTTATTTCAATATGAACCCCTCTCATTGCAGTCTTACTATCTCCTCCTCTTTAATACATACCGCTTTGTACTAGCCACTCACTCACCTGACACCTTTTATAACCTTGAACTCACTTGTCAATTTTCCTACCCCACATTCTACGAATCTATTTCTTTTCCTTCACGTTCCCAGTGGAACATAGGGCTCCAAGCTAGAGGCTTGAAGTTTCTGTAGCAGTGTTAATTGTTACAGGACGGGGTTGCTAGCCTCATGCCGAACCTTTCCGCTTTACCAGTCTCACTACTGGCTTAGCGAAGTAAAGGAGTGCGTCGGCCGGGGATCGAACCCCGAACAATGTGCATGGTCGGCAAGCATCCTAGCCGCTGTACCACCGACGCACTACGAATCTATTATGAGGATTAATCACCACCATTGTCTTCCACTTCACAATATTTTGTAGTCGATTTCAGCCTAGCACGACGTTTGCCACACAAATACGACTATTTATTTTGACACCCTATAACTGCTAATCTGTTATTCTACTTAAAGAAATGTATCCGCCGCATAACTAACTGGCTATCATTATTGTAACGACAATAAATATTAAATTTTATAATTGTAAGAATCTGAAGAGGAGAAATGATTGAAAAAGGAATATTCTTTGTTCAGATTTACTTTGAATTCATGGGATATGGGAATATTTCACACTATTAAATCTTATTTCAAAAGACTTTTAAATCTTGCGCCGAAAAAATGTTAACTCCATAGGCATTCCCCTTCATGCGCTGTCAATATTTTCAATAGAAAGGGATTTTAATTCACGAAGAAGAATGATAACACAATTACTCTCTGATATCATGACAATAATGACAACAACAATTTTTAGAGTTTTACAATACTTTTTGATTGAACACTAGTCAGAAACTAGTGTAATTTGTATAGTCCATTCATTTGGTGCAGACTGAATTCTATCATAGTCAAGTTTGCAGCGTGGCTACCATGCATCTGGGTGGCTCACCATCCCGATGCGCTGTGAAATGTTGATATTAGATGGCTGATTGCAGCACTGGGTGACGCGGGTTCGAATCCCAGAAGAGACATGAGTTCCTTCAAGGTGGTTGCAGATACGCCTTGCTGACTGGCGAGTGCCAGTTAGCACGAAACCTAGCTTCAAGGCTTCTTGCTCCGATTGCCTCCAACCAGCCAATATCAACAAGAGTCTTACAATCTTTAGTGCTATATAACATAAAGTCTCATATAAATGAGTTATACTTTGTAGATTAACAAATACAACATCACAAAGTGCTGACTAGGTTATCTTGCCGGATAATCACACGTCCGCAATAAAAATGTTTGGAAAACATCAAAATAAAAACATTTCTGTCAGTAAATTAATGAATGTCACACTTAAAATTGGATAGAGGTATACACTTAAAGATTTTATTGGATGTTTCATCCTATTTCTGGACCTCGTCATCTGGAAGTACCTGTCCATTCCCCAGTTGGTACCTGAAAGTATTCCTGTTAACATCAAAAATGCACTATCTGTCATTTTCAAATACTAAAACGGTCTCCGTGGAAACATCATCATCACCACCAATCACTGGGGATGCAGCCGCGGTCAATTTAATGAGGCATGAATATCAATTAAATAATATCCTATTAACCTTAAGATATATCACATCATGGAAGCATCTACACATCAGCAGACGACATGTCAACATATACACACACATTTCAGTGCAGAAACATCAATCAACGCAAAAATCGAAGTAATAGCTTCAAAAAATTCAATTTTTTTAAAATTTCTAATAAATGCGTAGTAATTTGTTGCAATACTACTAATAACTGACAACATGGAATTGTTAGAAATAAGTAGTTAGTTTGTTAGTTACTACATTGAATCTAAACATAACCCAGGGTGACTCGAGGTAACATAAATATGATCAAAAAATAACTAAATGGGAGAATACACTTTGCTTTGCTACTATAAAACAATCATAATAAATATAAATAAATAAATAAATTCTGAATACGAACAAGGAGGAGACTATTTATTTTTATTTTTTATTATTTCTTTGAGTTCCGAGTGGTAGTGGAGCATAGAGCTTCAAGAACATATCCCCACTTCCTTATATTTTCTCTTCAGGTGGGTCCCCTATTGCGCATAAACTTTCATCTCCTCCTCCTCCCCTTCAAACGATCTCCTCCTGGTCAACCTTGGATGACCCACTCGCCGCTTCTCAGTGGGATACCACTATAGAGCGATGGCTTGCATTTAGCGCGATGCCATTTGACAGCCTCCTCAA